CACTCCTGGGTATACATACCCAAGAGAAGTTAAAACATATAGCCACACAAAAACGTGTACATAACTGTTCACAGTAGCGTTATTTGTAATAGCCAAAAAGTAGAAACAACCCAAACAGCCATAACAAAATGTGACATATCCATACATTCAAATATTATTTATACTTAGATATAAAAAGGAATGCAGGCCGGGCGCGGTGGCTCATGCCTGTAATCATAGCACTCTGGGAGGCCGAGGCAGGTGGATTGCTCAAGGTCAGGAGTTCGAAACCAGCCTGAGCAAGAGGGAGACACCATCTCTACTATAAATAGATATTAATTGGCTAACTAAATATATACATACATATAAAAAAAAATTAGCCGGGCATGGTGTCGCATGCCTGTAGTCCCAGCTACTTGGGAGGCTGAGGCAGGAGGATAGCTCGAGCCCAGGAGTTTGAGGTTGCTGTGAGCTAAGCTGACGCCACAGCACTCTAGTCCCGGCAACATAAGTGAGACTCTGTCTCAAAAAAAAAAGGAATGCAGTACTGATACGTGTGATAATATGAATGAATTTGTGAAAACATGCTAAATGAAAGAAGCCAGGCACAAAAGGCCTAGCTTGAATTAGTCAACAGTTTCTTAAAAGTACAAACAACCAAAGAAAGTGAAAAGATGATCTGCAGAATGAAATTCTGCAAATTATATATCTGGTAAGAGTCAAGTATCCAGAATATGTAAAGAAACCTTATAACTCAACAATAAAAAGACAAATAACCGAATTTAAAAATGAGCAAAGAATTTGACAGACATTTCTCTAAAGGTACAGTAGTCCCCCTATCCAAAAGGCATACTATATATTATAGTATATATTATATACTATACATGGATAGTATATATACTATGTTATATAGCATATTATATATATATGTGTGTGTATATATATCATATTATATAATTCCACTTATATGAAACATCCAGAACAGCTAAGTCCACAGAGACAGAAAGCAGCTATTAATGACTGCCACGGGCTGAAGGGTGGAGGTATCCAGAGAGGAGAATAAAGAACGACTGCTAATGGATATGGGGTTTCTTTAGGAGGATGAAAATGTTCTGGAATTAGACTCTGGTAATGACTGCATGATTTTGTGAATACACTAAAAACCACTCAATTGTATACTTAAAAGGGCAAATTTAATGGTATGTGAATTATATATCAATAAAAAAATGAACAGGAAAAAAAAGTCCCTAAGCAAACAAAATACAGGTCACAAAGATCATACACTAAAATCCATATATATTCCCTTATTTTAAAAAAGCCCTGATTCTCAGATGAAATGTATTTACTCTCACTTTATGTATAATTTGCACAGAGCTGGAATAAAAGCCCATATTCCAAGCCCAAAGGTTTAAAAGCCTCAGATTAGGGTAAATAAAATTGATAAAAACAAGCATACTGACAGTGAGGTTTAAAATGAGGCAAAAGGGCCTGGCACAGTGGCTCATGTCTGCAATCCGAGAACTATGGGAGGCTAAGGTGGGAGGATCACTTGAGCTCAAGAGTTTGACACTGCAGTGAGCTATGATTACATCACTGTACTCCAACCTGGGCAATAGGGTGAGACCCCCATCTCTAAAATAAATAAATAAATGAAAATTTAAGAAAGTTATACCAACTGTGACTGCTCTCCTCCCTTCCCTTCCACCTCCTCCACTTGTCCCACCATGAAAAGCAAGACAGTTCCTCCTCCTACTCAATGTAATGACATTTTCTCTCCTCTAGCTTACTTTCCTGTGAAAACACTTGGTATAGCACGTATACATAGACAATGCATGCTAATCAACCGTTCATTATCGGTAAGCCTTCTGGTCAATAGTAGGCTATTAATAGTTAAGTTTCTGAGGATTCTAAAATTATACTCAGATTTGGCCGGGTGCAGTGGCTCACACCTATAATACTAGCACTCTGGGAGGCCCAGGCGGGCGGATTGCTCAAGGTCAGGAGTTCAAAACCAGCCTGAGCAAGAGCGGGACCCCATCTCTACCAAAAATGGAAACAAATTAATTGGCCAACTAAAAAATACATAGAAAAAAAAATTTTTTTAATAAGATCATAAAATTATACTCAGATTTTTTACTGCACAGGAGGTTAGCACCCCCAAACTCTGCATTGCTCAAGGGTCAACCGTACTTACATATAGTGTTTTATATATTATATACTTATATTTAATAACAGCAAATATATTAAAAAAACATACATTTAATAAAGGCAAACTACATACTTCATTAGGTCCTGACAGTATCACTGATATATAACCTGACACAATAATCTATGTTTATAGTAATAAAAATGATGATTAAGAGTAATAAGTGCTAAGCCACTTATTATCAATGTGCCAATCACTGTTCTAAGTACTGAACCTTTAGTTACTCATTTTAACTCCCAACAATCCTATAAAGAAAGTACTATTATTACTTCATTTTACAGAAGAAACTGAGAAATCACATAGCTAAAGTAAGTGGCAAAGTTAAGATTCAAACATGTGAAGGAAGAGAGGAAGAAAAAAAAATTCAAACTTGGCAGTTAGCTTCAGAGTCCATCTGCTTAACCAGTATACTATGTTGCCTCTCAGTGACAAACCATCAGTGACTAAAAAATTAAACAATGTTCAGTAAGCTCTCTAAGATAGGAAAATCTACAATTTTTACTTCATTATAAAAATGGCATTAAAAAAACTGTTATATGAGAAAGTCTAGAGGTCAAAGAACAGCCCTTTACAATCTGACTCCAACCTGTACTTCCAGCTTATCTCTAGCAATTCCAGTCAGACCAGACTTCTCATGTTCCTTAAACATACAGAGCTTGCATTTTCATGCCACTGTGTTACAGGTTTTTTCTTGACTTCTCTGCCTAGAAAATTCCTACTTATCCTTCAAAATCTAGTTCAAATAACACTTCCTCTATGCCACCTTCTCTGATGCCACTAGGCAAAACTGCATTCACACAGCATTTGTAGATATCTCCATTAAAGCATTTGTAACATTACATCACATTTGAATGCTTAATCCTCCTTTTCACCTCCTAAAACTAGACAGAACCTAGTTCACAATATATGGTAAATAAATTTCTTAAGTTTCAGATTTTTTAGAAACTCAGCAATACAAAATGACTACTTGGCTAAGAGGTCCATATAGTCAAGGTTTTATTTTAACAAAAAGCATAAAATAGATTAATTTACTTTTTGTTTGCTTTTACAGGCAGGGTGTCACTCTGTAGCCCCAGGCTGGAGTGCAGTGGCTTGATCATAGCTCTTTGACTGCAACTTCAAACCCTGGACTTAAGGGATTTCCCCCACCCCACCCCCACTCAGCCTTCTAAATAGCTGGGACTACAGGCCTACACCACCAGGCCGGCTAATTTTTATTTTTTTCTAGAGAAGGGCTCTCACTATGTTGCCAGGCTGGTCTGGAACTCCTGACCTCAAGTGATCCTCCAACCTCAGCCTCCCAAAGTGCAGGGATTACAGTCATAAACCACCACATCCGGCCTGAAATTCAGACATTTAAAAGGAATAAAAGTTCATTTACATATAAATTAGAAGTTACAAAGGTTCCCACAGATTGAATTCATTCACGAGAAATCTTTTTAAGAAGAAAAGACTGATAACTGATATTCTGGACTAATTTTGAGTAATTCGATAGAATCAAGGTAATATGGATAATGATGTGGCTACAATTTTAAGTGAGAGATTAGTGTTGCCAGAATCTAAGCCAACAGATCTAAAGGAAAGGCAGACAAGAGTAGCAGTGAGTAGGTTACTACTGCTGGAGTCATGCATGTTAACCTAATATCCTTAGAAATTACTGTTCTTCCCAATTTCAAGTCACTCCTCAAGAGTAACTTACTAAATAATTCGTGTGAAATTTTTGTTGTATTACTTCTTCTAGACGAGTTGGTATTTCCTATTGGACAAAATCAAACACAATTACATCCACACATACAGCTAACTTATTTCTCTCTTTAGAAGATCCCTGAATTTCTCTAAGGGAAAAAAAAAAAACTTATTTCTTTCTCTGGTTTCGACTATGACTTTTTTGTTTGTTTGTTTGGTGTTTTTTTTTTTTTTTTGAGTCAGAGTCTTACTCTGTTGCCCTGGCTAGAGTGCAGTGGCATCAGCCTAGCTCACAGCAACCTCAAACTCCTGGGCTCAAGCAATCCTCCTGCCTCAGCCTCCCAAGTAGCTGGGACTACAGGCATTTGCCACCATGCCCAGCTAATATTTTCTACATATTTTCAATTGTCCAATTAATTTCTTTCTATTTTTAGTGGAGATGGGGGGGGGTCCTCACTCTTGCTCAGGCTGGTTTCAAACTCCTGATCTTGAGTGATCTGCCCGCTTCCGCCCGCTTTGGCCTCCCAGAGTGCTAATATTACAGGAGTGAGCCACCGCACCCGGCCACTCTCTGTATATAATTTACAACAGCCAAGCTAACAACATGTGGGATAACCTATAGTTTTTAGTATTTAATTAGTACACAAGAATACATAGGGGTCCCTCAAATATTTATTAAATTAACTGTATTTGTCTCTGCCTTTTCTATGAAAAATTACTTTTACCTATAAAGGAAATGTTATTTCTGATCTTTTTTTTTTTTAAAGTTATCTACACTACTGGCTTGTTTTTTCTCCTATTATCCCACACTTAAAATTTATTTAATATGCTACAGCTTCTGGCAAGCTCTGCCTCTTATTTCATGATCTTCATGGTCTCCAAAAGATCTACTGCTTCCAACTCATTTTCATGACTATAAGTCTCTGATTTTTTATAAACATATCTGTCACAGCTATTGATGGTACAATGTCCTCCAAGGCAACCTTTTATATAAAACACCCCTTTAAATCAAATGACAACTTTCCATTCCTATTAACATAAAATTAAAACCAACTCAACTACTTCTATATGTTAGGCACTCAGGCAGTCACAGACCTGAATTAACATTTGTGTAGTATTTCTTCATTACCTAGGCTGAGAATTCTCCTCATACATTCTTTCTTTCCCCTCCTTGAAGAGGCTTATGGTCTGTTTAGTTTTCTTCATCAAATTCTCCATGAACACCCTAAAATACTCATTTTCTCCAAGTGTCTCCATCTTCCCCTCATATCTTGACAAGATAGTACGGAGATGCTGGTAGGTATCTGGCAGCAGGTCTAAGATATAAGGTGGGCTATTCTTTAGCGCCAGCTTTGGGTTCTGACACAACCGCACCACCTGCAACAAATGGAAAAGAAGTGCTATTACTTGGGGAATCTTAAGGACAAATTCCTTTTTAAAGTTCAAAAAGTTATGAAATAATGTGTTTTGCAGAAATGTGAAAAATGCATGAGAATATAAGAAATGACCCGTAACACCCACTGTCCACAAGCAATCACTTTAGATTTTTAGGGGTCTCCCAGAAGAGTGCTTTTTTTTCTTTTTCTTTTTTTCAAGAGACAGGATCTTCCGTTGAGGTGGCTCACACCTGTAATCCAAGCACTCTGGGAGGCCGAGGAGGGCAGATCACTCAAGGTCAGGAGTTCAAAACCAGCCTGAGGCAAAAGCGAGACCCTGTCTCTACTAAAAATAGAAAGAAATTAATTGGACAACTAAAAACATATACAGAAAAAATTAGCTGGGCGGGAGACTGAGGCAGGAGGATTGCTTGAGCACAGGAGTTTGAGGTTGCTGTGAGCTAGGCTGATGCCATGGCACTCTAGCCAGGGCAACAGAGTGAGACTCTGTCTCAAAAAAAAGAAAACAGACAGGATTCTGGGTCTGTCACCTAGGCTAGGCTACAATGGCACGGTCATAGTTCAATGCAGCCTCAAATTCCTGAGCTAAAATGATCTTCCCAAATCAGCCTCCAAAGTAGCTGGGACTACAGACATGTACCACCAAGCCTGGCCCAAAGGGTAGGTTCTTAGGCTCTTAAAGCCCTATGAAAGACTAATGGTGCAGACAACACACAGTAGACTAAAAACTAGGGGGGAAACATCCACACAAATGCCTAAAAGCTGCTAGATGAAATACTGAAAATTACTTTTAATTACATGGCTGACCCCACAATAGAGTGAAGAAAATTCCCAGGGGCGGAAATAATGGACATGGCTGCCCTGGGAGAGGTAAATCTCTGTAATCTAGGGGCTTAAATTTTAACAACCATTAGTGGACAGAAGCTGAGAGGACTTAGACCCAGCAAAGCCTCAGGCTAAACTGAGACATCTCTGTTCCTTCCCATACAAATGCAGGACTCTCAGAATTTGCCTGCTAATTCTTTTCCCCATCTTTTACTTTTAACTTTTCTGAGTTCTTATGTTTTAAATGGGTTTCTTTTAAAGAACATATAGTTAGATTTAAAAAATCCAATGTAACAATCTTTGTTTTCTAAAAGGCGAATTTAGTCCCTTTTATATTTACTGCAACTGATAATTTGTATTTATTCCTACCATCTTTTTGTGCTTTCTATTTACAGGGATTTCTCTGTGTCTAGAAAAGACTAAAAACAGAAGAATCCAGAAATAGACCCACACATATACTGACCCTTGCTTTATGACAAAGGAGAGGTTACTTTCCCAAAATGGTCACAGAACAATTGGGTATCCACATGGGAAAAAAAGAAAACTAAAGCCTTACCTTATACTATACCAAAATTAATTAATTAATTAATTCCAGGTAGGTTATAGACCTAAATGTAAAAGGCAAATCTAAAAAGCTTTAGAATACAAAAAAAGTTATTTACATTACTTCATGGTAAAGAAAAGTTTTTCTTAAACAGGACCATAAAGAACACTAATTATAAAGTAAAATATTAATTAAATTCTACTATTATACTTTAAAAGAACTGGTTATCAAAAGACACCACAGGCTGGGTGCGGTGGCTCACGCCTGTAATCCTAGCACTCTGGGAGGCTGAGGCGGGAGGATTGCTCGAGGTCAGGCGTTTGAAACCAGCCTGAGCAAGAGCAAGACCCCATCTCTACTATAAATAGAAATTAATTGGCCAACTAATATATATAGAAAAAATTAGCCGAGCATGTGGCACATGCCTGTAGTCCCAGCTACTTGGGAGGCTGAGGCAGAAAAGGGATCGCTTTTTGAGGGGCCCCCCAGAAGGTTTTTGAGTGGTTGCTGTGAGCTAGGCTGACGCCACGGCACTCACTCTAGCTACGGGCAACAAAGCAAGACTCTGTGCTCAAAAAAAAAAAAAAAAAAAAGACACCATAGGCAGGGAGCAGTGGCTCAAGCTTATAATTCTAGCACTCTGGGAGGCAGAGGCGGGAAGATCACTCAAGATCAGGAGTTTGAAACCAGCCTGAGCAAGAGCGAGACCCTGTCTCTACTAAAAATAATTGGACAACTAAAAATATATATAGAAAAACTTAGCTGGACATGGTGGTACATGCCTGTAGTCCCAGCTACTCAGGAGGCTGAGACAGGAGGATCACTTAAACCCAGGAGTTTGAGGCTGCTGTGAGTTAGGCTGACGCCAATGCACTAGTCTAACGCAAGCAACAGAGCAAAACTCTGTCTCAAAAAAAAAAAGACACCACAAAAAGTAAAACCACAAGTCACAAAATCAGAAGATATTTATAATACATATATATCCAGGGGGAGGGGTGAACCAGAATATACATATCCAGACATACACACACAGAATATATAACAACATCTACAAACCAATAAGATAGACTATAGACAATCTAATACAAAAATGGATGAGACTTGATTGAGACTATCATAAAAGCAAAAAATTACATCCAAATAACCAAAAAATATGATATGATACTCAACCTCATTAAACATTCAAGAAAATGAAAATAAGATCACAATTAGACACACGCCAAATCAGCAACACCAACATTCTTGCTTGGCAAGGATGTGGAACAAAAGGAACCCTTCAAAGACTGCTGGTGGGAATCTAAACTGATACAACCAAGTCGGAAAACAGCTCAGCACTGTATTGTCAGGTAAAAGATTTGTATACTCTATGAATCTGCAGATCCATGCCTGGAAAGGTATACTAGGATATATACACACAAATGTGCAGAAAAGCATTATTAGTAATAATGAAAACTGGAAATAACCCAAATGTCCAACAATATACATAAATTGTGATATATTCATTACAATAGAATAATACATAGCAACAGTATTATACTATACTAACTACAACATGGAAGCTCCTGTCAAACAAAGTTGATCTAAAGAAACCAGAAACAGGCCTGGTGCGGTAGCTCATGTATGAAATCTTAACACTCTGGGAAGCTTAGGCGGGAGGAGAATGCTTTAGCTCAGGAGTTCGAGACCAGATGAACAAGAGCAAGACCTGTCTCTACAAAAAACAGAAAAATTAGCTAGGCATGGTGGGACATGCCTGTAGTCCCAGCTACTAGGGAAGCTGAAAGCAGGAGGATCACAGGAGCCCAAGGGTTTGCAGTTGTGGTGAGCTATAATGACACCATGACACTCCAGACTGGGTGACAAAGCAAGACACGGTCTCAAAGGAAAAAAAAAAAACCCACACAAATCATATATGCAAATACTGATTAGTTTGATAAAAGTAATATTTTAAAGTTATGCTAATTCATAAGATTACTGAACTACCTTTCTTCCACTCGTTTTTTAAAATATTGATACAATTATAATGTTATATAAACTTGAACATCCTTTTTCCCTCTTCTTGATAAACTAAAGTCTTTATCATTTAAATAGCCTTCTTTATCTCCCTAGGAATATTTCTTGTCTTAAAAGTCAACTTTATCTTATATATAATAGTTAAATAAACTTTCTTAGGTTGGTGTTTACATAGAGTATGTTTTTCCATCCTTCTACTTCCAAACTTCCTGTATTCTTACATTTAAAGCATGACTCTTTGTACACAGCATATAGCTGCTTTCTTTTTAACTCATTCTGACCATCTTTGATTTTAACTATTTGATCTGTTTACATTTAAGGTATTATGAAATTGCTTTTTATTTTCTTGAGGCAGAGTCTCACTAACCTCAGGCGATCCTGCTGCCTCTGCCTTCCAGAGTGTTAAGATTACAGGTGTGAGCCACAGCACCCAGCTGAAATTGCTATTCTTACAGCTCAAAGATTGGCATTTTTCATATGCTTTACCTAGAACCAACCGTCATAATAAATAATAAAATAATTCACTATTTGTTTTCTGTGTCTCACCTGTTCCATGTTCCTTTATCTTCCCTTTCTTGCCCTCTTTTGCTTTAACCATTTTTTATTTTCCCATTTTTCTCCTCCATGAGCTTATCAAATATACATTCTTTATTCTTTTAGTGGTTACCTTAGTGACTAACATGTACCCATGATCTGTGAAATTTTATATAAATTAGTACTTTTACCACTTCTCAGACAATGCAAGAACCTTGGAGCACTAATTCCATTTACTCTCCTTTCGACTTGTGCGTTATTACTACCACATACTTTAATTCCATGTATCTTTTTTTTTTTTTTGAGACAGAGTCTCGCTTTGTCGCCCAGGCTAGAGTGAGTGCCATAGCGTCAGCCTAGCTCACAGCAACCTCAAACTCCTGGGCTCAAGCAATCCTGCTGCCTCAGCCTCCTGAGTAGCTGGGACTACAGGCATGTACCACCACGCCCGGCTAATTTTTTTTTTCTATATGTATTAGTTGGCCAATTAATTTCTTTCTATTTATAGTAGAGACGGGTCTCGCTCTCGCTCAGGCTGGTTTCGAACTCCTGACCTCAAGCAATCAATCCGCCCGCCTCGGCCTCCCAGAGAGCTAGGATTATAGGCGTGAGCCACCGCGCCCGGGCCGATGTATCTTTTAAAGTCCGCAAGTCATTATTATCACTATTTTTTATACAGCCAATACTCATGCATATTTATCCACATAATTGCCCCTGACAGTGCTCTTCTCATCCATCTAGAATCACTTTACTTCAGCCTAAAGAACATTCTTTAGTTTTATTTAAAATATTTTTGGGGCCGGACGTGGTGGCTCACGCCTGTAATCCTAGCACTCTGGGAGGCTCAGGCAGGCGGACTGCTCAAGGTCAAGAGTTCAAAACCAGCCTCAGCAAGAGCGAGACCCCATTTATACTATAAATAGAAAGAAATTAATTGGCCAACTAATATATAGAAAAAAAATTAGCCGGGCATGGTGGCGCACGCCTGTAGTCCCAGCTGTTGGGAGGCTCAGGCAGGCGGATTGCTCGAGGTCAGGAGTTTGAGGTTGCTGTGAGCAAGGCTG